TATATATATATATATTATTTTTATTGAAGAGAGTTATAATAACATTGATATAATTTTTACTAACTATTACACCATTTAATAACTTTATATTAAATGTAAATTTTGTAAATTCAACCGTTAGATTGAAAATTCTTTACTCTTAGATTATATATAGAAAATTTTATATTAATCAAAGATGATTTGATACTTCATTTTTATAAAATAAAATTGACGTAATATACTAAAATATAAATATTTTGATTACTTTCAAGTTGTTGTTTAATTTTAACAAAATTTGATATAAACGTATAAAGTGATATGAACTTTCAATATAATAGTTGAATTTACAAAATTCATATTTAATATAAAGTTATTGTGCGATGTAACACTTAGTAAAAGTTACACCGGTGTTATTATAACATTCCTTGTATATTAATAAATTTTAATAAAAATTAAAACACTTTGATAAAGTTTATTTTAGGGTATTATTGTGTATTCTTAGAAATAAGATTACGAAGAATATTACAAATAGAAATGTTATTTTTTAATAATATTTAAAAATGTATTTGCTTTTATTTTAATATTTTTACGAATATTTTTCAATTTTTAAAATAATTCAAATAATAAATAAAATTAGAAGTTACAAATATAATAGAAAATAACTTCACATATTTATATAAGAACATATCTGATGAAGAGTGTTTGTAGTATATCTTACTAATAAATATGTTTACTAGTAACTTTTATTGATGTTTGATAGCAGAAAATTGCTTAAAAATAATCAATGACTTTTAAAATAAATAATGTTATTTATGAATTTAAAAAATATATTTTTAAGTTTAATTATTTTAACGAATAATAAAGAACACAAACCACTCTCACAAAAAAATATGCACCATCAACCGTTCATCACCTACGAATCAAAAATTAATCATCTATCATCGTTATATATTCCTCATAATTATGTAATTATTTGTTTTTAATATTTAATATTTTTATATGTATTAAATTAATTGTCTAAATTTTATTATTAATTTTATGTTAAAATATTAATTATATTTAATTAAATTAATATTTAATTATAATAATTACATTATTTTTTAAAGTTGTCAAAATGAGTTTATAATGTAGATTGCTTATAAAATCTTATCATTGAAACAAAATTTATAAAAATATAGGTTAATTGTTTAAAAATGATATCATATAAGATCTCATTACAGTGTAGGTTGAATTTTTTTTTTAATTCCTTATACCTACAATTCTCAATCCTTTTAATAATGTTGTCCCTTTCTTGTTAACATGACAAAATTATTAATTCAATTATATATGTTTGATGTTGAATTTATTATATTAGAATTACTTTAAATTAGATCTCAATGTTTTAGGTCTTTTTTATATTCTCACCTATGATATCTATTGGTTAGTCACATTTTTTACCCTCACAAAAATTAAAGACATCTATCACATTAACACAAAACAAACAATATTACACTAAAAATTAATGATATACATTAAAAATATTTTAAAATTACAAATATAAGGATTAAAAATATTTATATCAATCTATATGGACTAAAAAAATTTAAAAGATAAATATAAAAATTAAAAAAAATATATTTTAAAGGATAAAGTAAGTGAAAGAAAGAAAAAAAAGTACTTTAACCTCTAAGTAAAATAAGAACTTTCATAAGAGATCCCCCCTTCCCCTTTTATTTGGGTGGGAAATAAGGATGTCAAAAAGTGGAACATGGATGGATAGTAGCTCTCTATTATCTTTACTGACACATAAATATATGTGTTGTACTCGTTCTCATATCTATACGGGGTATTCATTTAATACATATTTACATATTTTTTCAATATCCATCGTACCCGTGGATATTTACTAAAAAAATATTTTAAAAATATTCAATAAAGTATTTTAACAATATATTTTAGTTATTTATAACAATTTCTTTTGTTATAAAAATATGCATAAAAAGAAGTTTGCAGATTATAATTGAAATTCAAATAATATATATATATATATATATATATATATATATATAAAGTTTAAAAGTTATAAAATTTAAATTCAAATATTCTTCACAATTATATTAATAACAATAAGTGAACTTAAAAATTGAGTTTTAAACATTCAATCATATAAATTTGGCTTAATTATATTTTGGCTAAAAACCTTATTTTGGTCCCTTATAATAATTGTTTGTTTCAATTTAATCCCACTTTTATTTTTGGTTTCAATTTGGTCCCAAATAAATTAATTGATTTCAATTTAGTCCCTAATAAATTAATTGGTTTCAATTTGGGACTTCCGTCCAAATTATTTAAACGGAGTTAACTGTTGGCCACGTGGATGTCACGTAGATGCATAGGTGGATGTCACGTGGATGCCATGTGGATGCCAATTTTTTTGAAAACACCTGGAACCAGAACGGCCCGTTCTAGTTGCACTTTTTGGTTGCACTTTTGGTGTGTTAATTTTGCATCCGAAACGGCCCGTTCCAGGTGCAAAATTAACACACTAAAAGTGTAACAAAAACGGGTCGTTCTGGTTTCAGAACGGACCATTCTGGTTTCAGAACGAGCCGTTCTGGTTCCAGACTTTTAAACATAAACGATCAATGATTATAGTTCATGGTTGTGAATCATGGAAGGAAAAAGACCCAAGGTACAAAACATTTCAAACACTTAATTTGGTAATATTGTCAATGAAAATTGATAACTTCAATTGCTAAACAGTTAGGCTATATAGTGTATTATTAAAGACAACGCAATGTATCACTAAAGACAATGGTAGCAGATTTTATTTCATTTCAAATTGGAGTGAACCACTTACTACCAAATTGACACTATAGAGTAAATGATGAAATGACATGATATTTTTTCTTGAAGTCATTAACGATGTACCCCAACAACAACAACTTGTTCTTGAAGAGGACTAACATTTCACCACACAACCATATGCAGGGACAGATCTAAGTTAATCATAGTGAGGGCACTTGCCCCCACTAAAATTTTTTTCATTCTTTTTTTATATATAAAATATTAATAATTTTATAAAATATGTATTATTAATTATATTTTAATTATGTTGTTATATCTAATATAATAATTATATTAATATTTTTTACATTTTATTTTATTGTTTAATTATTTTTTATTTTGTGGTAAAATTATCTTCATTTTTAATGAAGAAAAAATTTATTTACTTCAAGAGTAAGTCTTGATAGATTTATTCTATTTAATACTTAATGTTCTATATCAAATTTTTAAAAATTTAATTGTTAAATTAAAAAGCTTTTCATGTATAGATCAAATTTATAAAAATTTTAAAAAAATTAAAAATCATATGATACTTTGTTAAATTAATTCAAATTAATATATAAAATATTTTTGTTTTAAATGAATGTAAAAAATTTAGAAGACACTAAAAGAAAATAAATTAATAATTTTATTATGTTTATCCTATTAATTTTTATCATTATTCCTCTAATTTTAAATAAGTTGCAAAAAATTATAAAGTGACTTAAATATTTCTTCAGACAGAAAGAGAAAAAGGAAAAGTTATTACTCTATTTATAAGAATTATGGAACGGACCGTTCTGAATCCAGAACGACTCGTTCTGGTTTCAGAAATGACCGTTCTGATGTATTCTTGGTGTGTTAATTTTGCCTTTGGAATGACCCGTTTCAGATGCAAAATTAACACACCAAGAGTGCATCCAGAACGGCCCGTTCTGAAACCAGAACAGACCGTTCTGGTTCCAGGTGTTTTCAAAAAAATTGGCATCCACGTGACATCTACCTATGCATCTACGTGGCATCTATGTGACCAATAATTAGCTCCTTTTAAATAATTTGGACGGAAGTTCCAAATTGAAATCAATTAATTTATTAGGGACCAAATTGAAACCAATTAATTTATTTGGGACCAAATTGAAACCAAAAATAAAAATGGGACTAAATTGAAACAAACAATTATTATAAGGGACCAAAATAGGTTTTTAGCCTTATATTTTTGATCCCTCAAGTATCGCAATTGTATAATTTTGATCCCAAAGTTTTAATTGGTAATTTTAGTCCATAAAGGATTGTAATTGTATGATTTTTTTATTGATTTTTAATTGAACAATTTTAGTTTCTCAAATATCATAATTGTGCGATTTTAGTCTTTTTCATTAAAAATTTAATAAATTTAAAATTTTAATATATATATATAATATTTTAAAATTATACAATTGTTTATCTATTATATACTTATATTTTAGTCTTATCTAATATTTTTTTTTAAAGTAGATTAATATATACTAAATTATATTTATCAAATTATTA